TGACACTGGATAGTAGATGTGTAGTAATGGGGATATCCCCTGACACTGGATAGTAGATGTGTAGTAATGGGGAGATCTCCTGACACTGGATAGTAGATGTGTAGTAATGGGGAGATCCCCTGACACTGGATAGTAAAGTATAGTAATGGGGAGATCCCCTGACACTGGATGGTAGATATGTAGTAATAGGGAGATCCCCTGACACTGGATGGTAGATGTGTAGTAATGGGGAAATCTCCTGACACTGGATAGTAGATGTGTAGTAATGGGGAGATCTCCTGACACTGGATAGTAGATGTGTAGTAATGGGGAGATCTCCTGACACTGGATAGTAGATGTGTAGTAATGGGGAGATCCCCTGCAACTGGATAGTAGATGTGTAGTAATGGAGAGATCTCCTGACACTGAATAGTAGATGTGTAGTAATGGGGAGATCTCCTGACACTGAATAGCAGATAGTCATATCAGGTGACAGGAAGCTTATATGAACTTTTGAATGGTCAATGCAGTAGGATATGATTCCCCCTGTGTATGACTTTATGTGTGCAAATAAAGATTTTAGTGTTTTTTTAGAGAAAATTGCAATTTGATAAACATTTGCGTAACTATTATGGGGCCTATAAAAATCAGTATCACCTTCCTTCTATTCTACTGGCCATGTGCTTTAAGAAAATATATGGTTTGGGTTTTTTTTTTTTTACAAACTCTGAAAGCTGTAAGTGAAAAATGAAAACCTCTAGATTTTAAGAGAAGTTTCGTTATTTACATTTTTGCATATGTTCGATTTTCACCATTTTGCAAAAAAGACGCAATTTAAAGTCTACAAATATTTGTTATTTATTAACTCAATGCAGGTTAAGCTTTTATATTTGGTAGGAATTTAGCAGGAATTTGTCAAATTTGCTATGTTTGTTTCTGCTAATTTTAGTGCCGATTTTGGTGTATTTTTGCCAAAAGTATTGTTTAGATAAACATTTGCGCAAATATTGCAGGGCCTTAAAAATCAGTATCACCTTATTTTTATTCTACTGGCCATATGCTATCAGAAAATATATGGTTTGGGGGGTCTTTTACAAACTCTGAGAGCTGTAAGTGAAAAATTTAATTAAAATTTAGATTTTTAGAGATCTTTTTGCGTGCGTTCGATTTTCACCATTTCACATGGCGCAATTTAAAATTAACAAATATTTGTTATTTATTAACTCCAATACAGGTTAAGCTGTTATATTAAGTAGGAATTTAGCAAAAATATTGTAAAATTTGCTGTGCTTTTATATTCAATAATTTGTATTGAGTTTTAAAAGTTACAAATATAACGAGATTGCAAAACCACTTATTGTACATACTGTAGCTGACATGTTGTGTTGCCAATAAGAAAGGGAACAACAGAAGAAAATACCGAGGAGATACATTGGGTTCAGCAATAGCAAACGGTCAGTTGTAATACTTATGATGTTCATCGTGAAAATGAAGATGGAAACATATTGAGCCGTTGTAATACTTATGTTACTTATCATGAAAAGGAACATGGAAACAAATTAAACATGAGCAGTTTCAGCACAGATTTACACACAGATTTAGTTTTGCTAGCTAAACCAGTTGGACCAAGCTTTTTCCACTTTTTGTAGTTTACCTGCACTAGATGTTAACATTCCTTCATACATAATGTGGGTGTGTACCAGGGTGACCACCTTGGTACACAAAGAGGTGGGACCTGTGGTTTCCAGTGTCATGCTATAGTCAACCTAGCAGATAATAGATAATAATATAATAACAACGTGGTAATCTATTTTTGAATGTGATGAGGGTATTCTTCAATACCAGTAGTCAACAGGGTTAATTCAGGAGTAAAAATGCAAGATGTTTTGGAAACCATACTTATTAGTTGGAAAATGTCAGACCAAAAGCTACTTAGTTTGGCACACCCACAAAATAAGTGAAGCTAAGTTCCTAATTCCCTGTATTCTGTCCAGCATTTGGGTGATGCTGAGGGGTCCATTTTATGCACATTATATGGAGTAACATACCAGTTTAGGTTAATTTTATGAGTCAGCTCCCATAGGTTGGTGGAATGGGTAGATTTAAAAGGTAGATCCTATTGCCTCCAGCCATTGTGTCTCAGTGAACGATTGGCCTAGATCTCACTTAAGCAGGGGAAGAAGTTTATGAAAGCTTGTCCTGAAGTAGGTTATACAAAAGTGAGATGCCTTTTTTGTGTACTGTGCTATCAGTTATGCACTGGTTTAAATAAGCGGGAGTCATAGAATAAGCAATGAGTTATTTGTACAAATCTATAATACTCAGATGTAGGCAAAGGGTAGGGCAGTGAAAGGTTTGAGAGTGCCTTGTGAGTAAAGACCAGATAGCCCCTCCCATCCAAAGGGCAAAGGGAAAGGTTAGAAACAAGATGCTGGAGCAAAGCAAAGAAAGCAGAGGTTGAATTGGGGAGAGGCCTGGAGGGGCATTTTGTAGAAAATAATGGTACGCTAGGGCTGAAGCAGTTATTGTAGGGAAAAGGAGTTTATTTGTGGGATTTGGTTGGGACTGGCTATGTAACCAGGAAGTAAGCTATGCCCCACAAGTTGTGTTGATTCTATGTCTTTTCCCCCCAGAGACTAAGGATACTGAGTGAGGACCAAACTTTAGGTTGTGCTAGAATAGCTGCAAAGTAGTAATCTCTAATTTTTATAAGCCCTGTGCCTCCTACTCTTCTATGTTTAATCAAGTTGGCATGGGAGCACCTAGATTTTATATGTTGCAGTATAACGTGCCCTATTATAGATTGGATTGATCTAAAGAATGACACTGGTACCAGGATGGGCAGCGTTCTAAATAGATAAAGCAGTTGGGGAAGTTTAAGTATTTTGAACGAAGCTACCCATCCCAACTAGGACAGTGTGGACTTGGCTTATGATTCAAGTTCTTTAGGCAAAGTTTGTAAGAAGGAAGCATAATTTGCCTGGTTCAGGGAGGGGGGGTTGTTTTGTTAGGTGGATGCCTTGATAGGGCATAGATTCTGTTGTCCACAAGTAATGGTAATTGCTTTGCATTAAAATTCTTAATGCAGGAAGTACTCTAAGAGGATTTCACAGTGTTCACTTTGTAATTAGAAACTGCACTAAAGGTAGAAAGTAGCTGTTGTACCAAAGCCAGAGATGGCGTGAGATGGGAAACAGCTCTCATTGTTTGAACACTGATTGTGTGAAAGTAAATTAATGTTTTGACTGACATTTTGCGGTTTAGCCACAAGATGTCACTGTTTTTCTAACACAGCCTCAGACTGCATAGATATTTGTATATTCATGAAGAGGTGGAGTTTTCACACAGAGTTGGAGTGAACAGGAAGAGAAGACTGCAGCCATGTTTTGAACGGTGCTGAATGAAGGGGCCGTGTGAGCTGAGAATCCGATGACATCCAGGTGTGGGAGCTTCCCTCGGTAACCAGAGCTGCGGCTAAGTGAAGCTGATCGTGTCCAAGACCCTGATCCTGTTCAGAGAAAGGAAGGTTGCTGCCAGTAATGCTGATGAGAGCAGAGGAACAACGCAGCATACACTGCAATATCGCAAGCTTGTTGGAGAGACATTTGTTCTGTTCAGAGTCACCAGCGGATGAAAAGCAGAGCAGGGTCGGTAAGATCGCGCACGCACCTCATTTCAGTGTTGGCGCCTATAGACTGAGTCCAGGCCTATAGTTAGTTAGTTAGGGTCTCTGTTTGTGTCAGCCCACAAGTGTTGTTACCGATTATTGGAAGGACTCCACAACTTAAAGTGACATTTCACATTAGAGAGCTGATAAAATCCTACAAACTCAAGCCAGACTGGCGTTTCACTCAGAAGGAATACTCAGGCACGTGCTACAGGACCAGTTATGGGAGGGGGAATACTGTAGATTTGTGTAAGATTGTAAGCTGTTGTGCTGCACCGCAGGCTAGCCTATACCATACGCCCATACACTGATTCCTGCTCTAATAAGGGGTAAGGTGTGGCAGCTTAATTGTGCCCGCCAGTAGGTAAATTACTACACTTTCTACCATCATTCATTAGGAGGCGCCATGCTGTGCAGCACAAGGGTCTCAGCCTTTGGGCTACGTGTATGTAAATTTATTGTATGTTCCCAGTATTTGTGGTTGTGTTTACTTGCCACATCTAAGTAAAATTTTGTTGTGGCAAAAGCTGGTGTTGGGGTTGCTTTCCTCGTTCGTGACTTCACTGTATCCTGGGGAGCCCACTCCGGTACACGGCTTACAACTTGGCGTAGTCGGCAGGATACAGCGACCGTTATGGACGGGAATGCGGCAGGAGATCTTCCCCCGGCGCCAATGGCACCGGTCCAGGACCCAGCTCAGGGTGCGCCGGTGCAAGACAAAGTTGTCCCAACACCGCTGATACAGCTTGCCCCCGCCCTGCCCGTACCAGTAGGGTACATTCCCGTGGGGGCGCTGTTGAGTCACCTGCCAAAATTTGACGGTAAAAATATGACGTTGCAGGACTGGACTGAAAGAGTGCAAAGTGCGATTAGAATGTGTAACCTGACTTCTGAGCTGCGGGCAGAGGTCTCATTGGGGACTCTAGAGGGTGACGTCAGACGGACAGTGATGGTAAGGCCCGAATCTGAGAGAGACACCCTAGAGAAAATATTCTCCCTGCTAGAGAGAGCCCAAGGGGGGCATGCTAAAGTAGTGCAGCTGCGGAGTCACTTCTTCAACCGACCACAGCAAGAGGGCGAGACCCTGATGCAGTACTCCAATGCCCTACAGGAGATGCTAAATGAAATACAGCGGCAACATCCAGAGGCCATGGGAGCTTCTCAGGAGGTGGACCGGCTACTACGAGACCAGTTCATAGTGGGGTTCTCCAACAAGTTCTTACAGGACAAATTGCAAGAGATGACCCGGATGGCACCCAACATGGCATTCTACAGCATCTACTTAGCCGCTGTGGAGAGAGAGGAAGAGTGCATACCTGTGGCGGCAATAATAGTGAGTAGTACCCATTGTACAAGAGGTCAGTCTGCATCTGAAGACTCAGAATCCTTAAAGGATGTGGTCCAGGCCCTGCGGACAGAATTAAGAGAACTTCGCTAGAAGTGTCCCAGATGAAGGCAGAATCTCCCCGGTCTCCAGAAATGACCTGTCAGGAATGGACTCGCCAATAATGGTGGGACTCACCTGCCTTGTGGGTTGCAGTACCAAGACTGGCCAGCGGGTGCTCTCCGCAATCAGAGGCTCACTCCGGCAATTAGCCACCACCTGGGGCTGATTGCAGGTGGTGTATTTAAGGGATGGCCAGACCTGCAGTCTGTGCCTTGTTGTACTGTTTGCTTGGCCCTGGTTTCCTGATCCTGTTACTTTTGTCCTGACTCTGCTTGAACTCTGCCTGTACTGACCTTGGCTAGTCCTGACCACTCTCCCCTGCCTGCTCCTGGTACTCCGCTTGCCCGTTTGCTACCGACCCGGCCTGCCTGACTACTCTTGTATTGTATGTTTGTTATCTGTTGGAGGTTTGGTTCAGTTTGTTTGCACTGTGTTTATGTTTAGTTTTTGCACTGTGTTTGTATTGTTAGTCTTAATAAATTATATTATTTACTATATCTGAAGCCTGCATTTCCCTGTGTCAGTCCACACACTTTCTGGTCATACCCGCATCCCTGACATGACCTCAGCACCTCGCGCAACTCCACTCAGGATAACTCAGCTGCGGGGGGCACATCAAAAGGGGACCCCTCTGTTGGGCTTGTCGACAGTACGGCCACATGGCCAGAGAGTGCCCAGAACAGATGAAGTCCGAGCCAACGTTAAACTTCCGACCGCCGGAGTAGCTGGGCGTCCTGCGGCGGTACACACCAGAAGCTAAGCCCTAAGAATGAGGAACATGACCTGTATGCCAGCAGCCCCGTTATGGAAGCCGAGTTGGAAGGCCAGAAGGTACGCTGCCTAGTTGATACAGGGTCGGAGTGCACCCTTATACCTCTGGAGTTCTTCCAAAGACACTTTGGACATATGATGGAGCCGGAAGACGGGAGTGTCATCAAGTTGACGGCTGCCAATAACAGAGAGATGGACGTCCGAGGAATAGTCTGGATGCGGGTCCGGCTGTGTGGGCAAGACGTCGGCAAAAAGGGGGGTCATGCTGGTGGATCATTCGTCCCGGAGAGGCATGGACGTGACACTAGATAAGAACGTGCTGAGGGACCTAGACCACAAACTTTATGCCAAAGAAGAGCCGAGGTATTGGCAACGGGCCACCACACACACCGGCCAACTCAGAAGGTTCTACAGCAGATGGTGAGGAGCTGTAGTCTGCGAAAGGGCGACATGTCCAGTCGACCCATTGGACACGTGAGGGTGCCGCGGAGGACCCCGGTGAAGATCCCACCTCGACATGAGCAAATATTGATGCTGCCGGTTGGGGCTGGACGACGACTGAATGGAATGGACTGGAGGTCCTGATCGAGCCTGCTTACCAAGAAGGAACGCAAACTCATCCACTGATAGCCTGGGCCCTCACTATTGTGAAGGATGGATGTGTGCCTGTACGCTGCCTCAACGTTTAAGACTGTGAGTTAACCGTCCCTGGGAATACCTGGCTTGCCGAAGTTTGTATCCGAAGGGGATATTCCTCGACGGAGGAGCTTCACGCTACGGGCAGATAGGAGATCAGCCCGGACCTATGCAGTAGAGGTCCCTCAAAGGGAGACCCCGACAGTGGAGTGGAACGGTCGAGTGATCATGGCCCGGATGGGGGGGACTGCAAGATCCTGACTCCAGGACAACAGAAGTTGCTGGAAGACACCCTTTGGGAGTTTCAGGAGGCCTTCTCGAGACATGATGAGGACTTTGGGTGTGCCTCCACCATTGAACACGAAATCCCCACTGGCAATGCTGCACCGATCAGGGAACGTTACCGGCAAATCCCGCCTAAAATGTACCAGGAGGTGAAGGATATGGTGGCCAGCATGTTGGAAAACCAGGTGATCCAGGAGAGTCAAAGTCCTTGGGCTGCTCCAGTAGTCTTGTTGCGGAAGAAAGATGGGAGTCTCCGTTTCTGCGTGGATTATCGGAAGCTGAATGCCCAGACCGTTCGGGATGCCTACCCCCTTCCGCAGATTGAGGAGTCGTTGTCCACCCTGAGTCATGCAAAGTTCTTCTCGACTCTTGACCTGGCCAGTGGGTATTGGCAGGTACCGGTGGCCAAGAAGGACAAAGCAAAGACAGCCTTCATCCTACCTATGGGTCTCTACGAGTTCAACCGGATGCCATTCGGCCTGTCCAATGCCCCGGGAACATTCCAGCGGTTGATGGAGCACTGCAACTTCGAGTCGGTATTGATATACCTGGATGACGTAGTAGTGTTTGGGGCCTCTTTTGAGGATCACTTCCAGAAACTGCGACAGGTCTTAGGATGGCTGTGAGACCATGGGCTCAAAATCAAGCCCAAGAAGAGCCAACTGTTTCGACAGCAGATAGAGTATTTGGGACATTTGGTCACCCAGGAGGGGGCAAAGCCAACCCCCGACAAGGTGGAGGCCGTCCAGAAGTGGCCCCAGCCGAGTACACTAGATGCGGGCGTTCATTGGACTGGCCGGCTACTACCGGAGGTTTATACCCAAGTTTGCTCATTTGGTGGGCCCGTTAAACGCATTATTAAGGGGCACTGCAGGGGGCCCGAAGAATTGTCCCATCGAGTGGGGACCCCGGCAACAAAGGGCCTTTGAAGCAGTGAAGGGGGCGCTGATCAGTGCCCTGATTCTGGCTTATGCGCGGTTCGACACCCCATTCCTGCTGTACACTGACGTAAGTCTACATGGTCTGGGGGCTGTGTTATCCCAAGTCCAGGATGGACGTGAGAGAGTCATTGCCTATGGCAGCTGGGCTCTGAGGGAGTCAGAGTGCAACCCTGACAACTACGGCTCCTTTAAATTGGAACTACTGCCACTGGTGTGGGCCATGACTGAAAAGTTCGCGGAGTACCTGACCGGTGCAGAGGTGACCGTGATGACGGACAACAACCCATTAGCACATCTGGAAAATGCCAAACTCGGTGCGCTTGAGTAGAGGTGGTTGGCTCGCCTTTCTAAGTACCGATACCAGATCAAGTTTTGGTCAGGTAGGGAGAACGGCAACACTGACGCACTCTCCTGAGTCCCTGTAGGGTTGTCGGCTCAGAGTGCCAATGAGGAGCTAGAGGACACTGAAACTCCTGACCTTGGTCGATTACCCATGTTCCAGGACATGGCACATTCAAGTGGGGTGGCGTCCAGGATGCCAATGGTGCTGGGAAAGACGTTGGCTGATTGGGAAAGGGTCCAGGATAGCTGCCCGGACCTGTGGAAAGTGAAAGAATGGGTCCGGACCAAGATCTGGCCTCGTCAGAAGAGCGGGCTCGTCTGACTCCCGAGGGCCAAAAGTTGTTGAGGTAGTGGGATAAGCTGTTACCCAGGGCCTCCTGTGTTGGACCATATACTTGCAGTCAGAGTTGCAGTACCAGCGACAGATTGTCATCCCCATGTCATTGGGACCGGAGGCTGCCCGGGAAGCCCATGAGAGGGGTGCCCATTTTGGGTGAAATAAAACGTTCAAGTGGCTCCAACGGCTCGTGTACTGTCCCGATTCGGCAGACATGGTGGCCGAGGCATGTCTTAAGTGTCGGCCCTGCGGGCTGAGCAAGAGTACTGAACAGCGGGCTCCTGTCCAGGCCATCTGGACATCAGCACCCCTAGAGCTCATTATGATCGATTATGTACAGATTGGGTACTCTACCTCAGGACACTCGTACTGTCTAGTCATGTCAGATCATTTCACAAAGTATGCGGTGGCTGTACCCACCAGAGACCAGATGGCAGAGTCAGCCGCTGAAGCGGTCTGCAAACACTTTATACAGGTGTTCAGGTGCCCACAGAGAATACATTCCGACCAGGGGGCATGTCTTCAGGGTACTCTAATGAATGAGTTGCCAACTGTGTGGGATCGAACGTTCCCGCACAACCCCGTATCACCCCCAGGGAAACGGGGCATGCGAGCGGTTCAACCGCACCTTGCTCCAGATGCTGCAGACTCTGGAGGACCGCCAAAAAGCTCAGTGGCCCGAATACCTACCTGAACTGATGTGGGTCTATAATAACAGGGTACACAGTACCACCGGATACTCCCCACATATGCTCATGTTTGGGAGAGCCGGCGGGAGATTAAAGATCTCCACATGCCCGATCCGATGGAGCACCACCAAGAAATACTACCGCCTGGGTGCAAGAGCACCGCCGCCGCCGACTGAGAGCGATCCACAAGGTTGTGGGGGAGCACCTTAGACAAGTGGTATACCCCAATCCGAAACCAGTACAGAAGGAGGGGTATGCCCCGGGTGATCGAGTGATAGTCAAAGCCAAGTGGCCATCTAGAAATTTGGATGGGCGGTGGGAGAGGCGGTCCCATACACGGTGAAGAGGAGGGTAGACCCTGCCATCCCGGTCTATGAGGTAGAGCCAATAGGGACTGGGAGCCCTCATGAAACTTGCACCGTAACATGTTGAGGCGTTGTAATTTTGATGAACCAGTGTGCGTGGAGGGGATGGCTCCTCCTGCTCAGAGTACTGAGGAAATCCCCTTAGAGGAGGGGGGAGGAATGGTGGGTTGTCCCTGCCCGGTACCCACAGAGGCTCTAACCATAGCAAGTTTGCCACCAAGGGAAAGTGTTGAGCGGTCAGCAGCTCCTCTCCCATTAAATGTGCCTGACGCCCCAGTGCTTCTGAGCCTGTCACTCTACGAAGGTCAACAAGGCCCAATGCTGGTGTGCCCCCACAGCACTATGCCCAGAATGAGTTTGTATGGGGAGGGTTGCCGAGGATGACAACCTCTAGTGGGGTGGCATGTGAGATGGGGAAACAGCTCTCATTGTTTGAACACTGATTGTGTGGAAGTAAATTAATGTTTTGACTGACATTCTGCGGTTTAGCCACAAGATATCACTGTTTTTCTAACACAGCCTCAGACTGCATAGATATTTGTATATTCATGAAGAGGTGGAGTTTTCACACAGTTGGAGTGAACAGGAAGAGGAGACTGCAGCCATGTTTTGAACGGTGCTGAATGAAGGGGCGTGTGAGCTGAAAATCCGATGACATCCAGGTGTGGGAGCTTCCCTCGGTAACCAGAGCTGCGGCTAAGTGAAGCTGATCGTGTCCAAGACCCTGATCCTGTTCAGAGAAAGAAAGATTGCTGCCAGTAATGCTGATGGGAGCAGAGGAACAACGCAGCATACAATGCAATATCGCAAGCTTGTTGGGGAGACATTTGTTCTGTTCAGTCACCAGCGGATGAAAAGCAGACCCGGGTCGGTAAGATCGTGCACGCACCTCATTTCAGTGTTGACGCCTATAGACTGAGTCCTGGTCTATAGTTAGTTTGGGTCTCTGTTTGTGTCAGCCCACAAGTGTTGTTACCGATTATTGGAAGGACTCCACATCTTAAAGTGACATTTCACATTGGAGAGCTGATAAAATCCTACAAACTCAAGCCAGACTGGCATTTTGCTCAGAAGGAATACTCAGGCACGTGCTACAGGACCAGTTATGAGTTATGGGAGGGGGAATACTGTAGATTTGTGTAAGATTGTAAGCTGTTGTTCTGCACCGCAGGCTAGCCCATACCATACACTGATTCCTGCTCTAATAAGGGGTAAGGTGTGGCAGCTTAAGTGTGCCCGCCAGCAGGTAAATTACTACACTTTCTACCAGGGGCGGACTGACCATTTGGGAATTCAGGCACTGCCCGAGGGCCCGGGGTCAGTAGGGGGCTCCATGAGATGCCCCTGGTACCTTTCATAGGCTTTTTTGGGTGTGGTTTGAGAGTGGGCGAGGA